AATCCATACGGCAGCTAACAACTGTCCATAACTCCAGTTCCAGGGGATCCAACAGCCTCTCCTGTCCTCCAAGGGCATTGAACGACATAGGTGCACTTACCTACATGCAGACAATACACACATATACATAAAATAAAAAAACTATTTTTTAAAAGAAACTTTAGCTCTGCTTCCCTCAGCCTCCAGGACCCACAGGCCTATCTCCCACCCGCAGGATTCTCTCTCATAGGTAAGTTGATTGTGCCCTCCAAGCCTTGACTCCCCTAGCCTCACTCACCCTCCCATCTCCCCCACCTGTCTCTTCTCCTAGCCTGGGTCCTGTCCCATTCCTTGGCTTGATGCCCCAGACACCTGGGGAACCACCACTGCTTCCTGATCCTTTGCACCCAGACCAACTCAGTTCCTTCTCGGGTCCCCTGGAGCACTGCTTCTGGGCCTGGCCCCCTCCTCACCTACCTTTACTTCCCTGGGTCTGCACAACCCACCAGCCTCTTTCCTGGACTCCCAGGCTGAACTTTGCTCTTCCTGATCTTTTGCATCCAGACCAACCCAGCTCCTCAGCTCAGTCCCCAGGGGCCCTTGAAGCTGCCTCCCACCCCCATCTTCCCTTGCATCTCTTGGTGGCAGCCACCAGCTTCCCTGGACCAAAATCATTCCTGGGCCTGGCTCCCAGGTCAGTCCAACCCCCAAATTTCTGAGGCCAAAATCTACCCTGAAGGATCCAAATCTTAGGAGAAAGCCTGAGAGCATCTGATCCTCATCTGACTTGGGCCTCTGTGGGAACTCCTGAAGACAACAGCAATCTGGCCACCCAATATGAAATCAAAAGAGAGAACTGGAAGCTTAGAGGAACCGGCCCTTCATGCCCAAAAAGTAAACCAGGAAGACACATAAAGTTCACACAAAAAAAGCAGACCTATATTGAAGTCTTGAGTCTCACACAAGAATCAAAAACTACAAAAGAAATTCAGATGTCAAAATCACAAAGAAAAAATAATAACATGGAAAAACAAAATAATATGTCCCCACCAAGTACCAATAATTATCCAGAGGAGTACAATGAGAACTCCCTAGAGATATTACAGGACATGGAACTCAAAAGAACAATTACAAACATGACAAAAGACTTCAGTGAATTTAAAGAATACACAAAGAAATCAAAGAACTGAAGGAAGATAGGGATAAACTTCTGAATGGAT